TTAACGTCACATCTCCCTGGCCGACGTCAATTGCGTACCAGTCTACAACAATCCCTCAGTTTTTCCTCTAAACTTTTATGCTCACGTATTTTGGTGGCGTGGTCGCCATGTTGGAATTACCGGCAACACAAATCGCATGCGCAGAAGATCATTTACGACAAAATTGACACGTTTTGAGGTGGTTCAAAACGAGTTTTACGACAAGCCAGTGTTTTGCGATAATATAAGTCGGCAAGTTCCGGACAGAAAACCGACCTGTGGAGACTCGTTGTCGAAGTTTTTTTTTTTTTTTTTTATTTGAGAACAGGCGAAAACTAATGCGCGCGTGGATGTCATCCATAAAATTAAATCGGTATGGCCTAATTAATGTTTACTGTAATTATATGTAATTAAATGAAATAAAATTATGTAAAGAAGAAAAAAAAAAAAAAAAAACACTATAAGCCAGAAACATATTCCAAAAACTGTAAGCAGTGTACATAATTTCCCCCATCAGGATATCAAATCAAATTTTGTTTCGCACGTCAGATTTTTATTTCTTTAATTACCGATATTGAAAAATCAATGCGTTTTTTGAAATGGATCGTTCTTTCCTACATATTACATTTCATAATTTATCACGAGCAGCTTCGCAATGATTGGCTTTTGCGATGATTTTGCTTTTATTTTTTTTTAAATGAATTTCATCTCAATTTGCTTCAACTTGTATTTTTAAAATACATTTCATTTTGACTCTGTTTTTACTTTTTTTTTCGAAATGAATTTTATTTTGAATTTGCTTTTAATATTATTTTCGAAATGAATTTCATTTTACTTTGCTTTTATTTTATTTTAATCTTCAAAATGTATTTAATTTTTAAATTGATTTCATTTTAACTTAATTTAATTTCGTTTTAATTTAATTTCAATCTCATTTTGTATATATATTTACCTCCCGCGCGGGCCTGCTTTAGAAGGTGAAAAACACCGCCCTTTCCCGCTAAATTTGGAACGCACATGGGGGTAGTAACGGCATAACCGCCCGGGGCCACAAATGCTAACTGTATGGGAAAGGCGTCATTGTACACTGTTTGGGAGCCATTTGCAAGACGCGGCTACGCTCTCCTTTTAATTTGAGGAGGGGTACGCGGGAGTATCAAAATCTTCGTGCCATTATCAAGCATTATAAAGCCGGTTTGAATCCTTCTAACTTTACAAACAAGTGGAAGAGTTTTGTGCTTTGGATTTGAACTTACGATCGTTCCTAACGCCCCTCCACACATTCACATAGCATTTTCTATATGCTTATGTGCGGCTTAGTTTTTGCCATACTTTCACCCTTAGTCATAGAACACAGACATAACAAAGTATCTTTGCTGGTCAAGGGAGCCATCACTTACTTACGTTTCTTACTTTCATCTGTGTTCTACTACGATGGAAGCAGAACGACTGTGGTCAGTCGTAGGCTTGGTATTTCACCATCCATTCGATTGCCCTTTGAGAGGTACGGATGTCACCCTATAGGTTGACACCTGGGGTTGAGCTGAACGATTTGGTGACTTTGGGGCTCAAAGATTGTTACCCACAAGAATAGGTTCACCCATTGAGTCAGTTGATGTTAAGTCCGGTCCTATATAGCCATGCGTACAATGCTATGTGTACGGGGACGCGTTCGGTTGATAGATGTCCCCCACCACAGCACTGTGTACTTCCATGGACAAAATCCGGGACTTTGAAAAATATAACGTTTTAATGAAATAGCATGCCCAGGTACCAAAAACGATGACCGATTAACACATATATCCAGCACTCCCAGTTCGGAATCCAATTGTGAATGAAATAAAAATGGCGGCGTTTG